TTCAGGTCCCAGCTGTGAAGAGGCTAGGGAGACCCCCTGAGGTGCTATGGCCCTCCCTCAGGCACTTAAGATCTCCTGGGATTGTACAAAGGGTCAAACTATTTCACAAACAGATGGAAAATTGCAAACTGTGATCAGTGTCCCCAGAGAGAGCTAAAGCTCTCTGCAGGGCTTTCACTGGCTATTCCCTTGGGCCCCTGACAGCTTCCAGATCATTCCTCTAATGTGAGTCTTTCTTCACCATCCCTTCTAATAGCACAGCCACAGCCCCCCGACCTGCCTTACTCTCCCCTTATCATCCAGCCTCTCCTCGTATGATTTACTCATCACATTTCTCATCTGTCTCCCCAACAGAATGTCAGCCACAAGAGGGCACCAGGAACTCTCTGGCACACAGCAAGTCCTCAGCATGGATATAGAATCCACAAAGGTATGACCATTCCTAGGGTCCCTGGCCAGTCTTGGATTCCATGTCTCCTTCTCTATCCTCCTCCTGTGTCACCTCTTCTTGGTGAGTTCCCTGGTCTCATGGTGAAGCTCCTAACTCACTGGCCTCAGAGGTTATTTCCTTGCATGAAGCTTGTCTACCCATGACCCCCATAGTCACACCTTTGATGGTTTGGTTATTCCGAGTCACTGGGCCATCTTTGAGCTCACATACCCCACTCCCTGACCTGGGCCTCCTCACCTCCTACCTCAGGTATTTAAACCTCTTTGGGCTACCTCAAACCCTCACCCCTGCCCCCAATTCACTATCAGTGTCCCTCTTGATCAGCACCCTTATCCAGCCAGGGTTCCATAGGTAGTCTCTGCAAACACTCCCCTTTCCCTTTGTAGTTGGCAAAATCCCCATCCTGGTTATTTCCAGCTCTCTGGTATGGCTACACTGAGGTGAACATCAGAGGAACACACCTGATGAATAACTTCCACCTTGCTCCCCACTGCTGATCACAAATGGGCACTCGACAGCCAGACAATACACCTTTGAGAGTGTGTATATTACATTTTAAACTTCCTCAAACCCCTTCTTTCCCATTTGCTCTTTGCTTTCTGCTGAGACCTGGGCCTCACCTGGGCCTCTGTGAGAAAGATGAGCCGCTGGTCGCTAACACCCTTATCTCCCCCCAGGAAATGCCTCAGTCCCCCTGCCTTGCCTATGAGTCCCTGGGTCTGTGTGTTGGATGAAGCACAGACCCAGGGACTCATAGGCAAGGCAGGGGGACTGCGGCATTTCCTGAGGACCGTCTTCTGCCAGCATCCTTACTCCCTCCTGCAACATTACTTGTCCCTCCCTGTTGGAGCATTTGCATCAGCAAAAACACATGCTCTAGCATTTCCTTTCTCAAAAGAGTCCTCCTTAACCCCCCTCCTATATTCCTCCAGCAATGGCCCCAATTCTTAGTCCCTGTCATGGCGATCACTGTCTCCACTGCAGGTAGGTTTTTGCCCCCACTCCCAGGGTGGTCTCTCTAAAACTGATCTGCCTACTGAAGCTTAACAACCTCTTCCTGCCCGAGTTCCTTTGTCCTCCTGGAGCCTAGGAGCCCACATCCTCTACCTCTCTTCTCATTTCACTAGTGGCTCTTTCTTGGTCTCCTTCGCTACTGGACCCTAGATGCTGATGTGCTCTCAGGTTTCTGGGCCTCTCTGTTGTCTCACATTCTCGTCCCTTCACATAGCTTTAAATACCACCCCTGGGACAATGACTCCCAAATCAAGGTCAATTTCCTCTGAGCTCCAGGCTTGCACAGCTAAGCCACTGTCCTGATGTGTCCACTTGGATGTCCAGTGGGCACCCTGGATTCACCGTGGTCAAAATGGAATTCCTGATTTGTCCCTTCTAAACCTGCTCCTCTCCTAGTCTTCCCCATCCTACCCGCCCAGGAGCCAACTAAGAGATATACTTAATTCATTTATTTCCCTTGCCCATTACAACCAAGCAGTCACATTGCTTTACTTCCAAAATACATCCCAAATTTAACCACTTCTCCATTAACATTCTGCCCCCACCTCAGTTCTGGATGCTATCATCTCTTGCCTGGTCACTGCACCAGGTTCCTTGTTAGTCTCCTTGCTTTCGTTCCTGACTTACAATCCAATCTCTGCATGGCGGCCACAGGGAACTTTTTAAAAAGTTAATTTTGCCATGACATTGCCCTGCTTAAAATGAACAGCTTCCCATTACACTTGGCATCAAAGCCAACCTGTTCCCAGTGGCCTACAAGGTCCTACACCATGTGGCTCTGATTGACCTCTTTCGCATCTCCCCTTGCTCACACATTAAGTTCTGGTCATTCTGGCTTCCTTTCTACTCCACAAACATTCCTCACTTGTTCCTCTGTGGGTATGTTGAAGAAGGGGTGAAACGAGACAGAGAATGTAGCTGATCGTAGGTGTTCATAGGAAAGGCCTGGACAGGCCTTTGCCAGAGTGGGGAGCTGAGCCCTGCTCCACTCACCATGGCGAAGAGGTTGTCATAGCCTTTGACCTTGGTGGGCACCTTGGAGAACTTCTGGTCAAATGCATCAGAGATGTTGTGGGCTGGGTCGGTGGAGATGATCAGAACACTCTCCCGCCCCTTGGACAGTTGGACCGCTAGGCTGCAGCTGGGCAAGGGAAAGTTTAAAAGGCAGAGAGTGAGGGGTCAGGTTCTGTTCCCTAAGTCTTCATGGAGAGATGTGGGGCCCAGAAGCAGGGGACCAGGATCAGCAGGGAACTTGAGAGTATGGGTAATTATGGAATCAAGCCTCAATGCCTGCATAGGGACCCTCTCAGACCTCACCTACTGACCCCTCCAGCTGGCTAAAATGGTGAGGTTCAGCTTGGCCTGATGCCTGCCTCTTCTTTGCTAGCTCAGAGCAGCACGCACGGTCCAGCTGTCCAGCCAGGATAGCTAAGGAGTCCTTTGCATTCCCTCAACGCAGAGATAAGGGGTCCCTTGCACCTCCTGCTAAACTCAGGATGGTTCAAACCACTTGTCCAGGATAATTTGCCCCAGGGACACCTACTCCCAGCCGACTGGGATAGTCTGATCATGTGCCCTCTTCCCGCCTTCGACCCCCACGTGGTCATAGAAATGCATGGTTCACCAGACTACGATAGTCTGCCCCAGTGCCCTTCCCCCTACTCTGAGCTCACTCTGGTACGGTCCAGCTGATTGGGACACCTAAATGCTCTCCCAGGCGCCGTGCGCTGGGTTCAGTGTGGTTCGGCCTTTGAGCCCCTACAGGGATGGGCCAACTCAGAGGGTGCCAGGCTTGTATTCTGGAGGTATGTGCTATTTGCTCCAGGTAACTTCTGTAGAGTACAACCCGGAAGACCCCGGCCCAGCCCCCGATCCCGGCTCCGGGTCGAAGAGCCTGTCCCTGGCCTCCCCTTCGCTCAGTGGTACATCCCACCCGTCTTCCCGGCCCCCACCGCCTCCTTACCTGCAGGTAGTCTTGCCAACGCCACCCTTGCCCCCGACGAAGATCCACTTAAGGCTGCGCTGCTCGATGATGTTGCTAAGCGTGGGCTCCAGCGGCTCCACATCAGGCGCATCCTCGAACTCCTCTGCCTCAACCCCCCACCCGGCCACCCCTGCCGCCATCTTGGAACCGGCTCACGTGATCAAGCGGAGCGCACCACGCAAAGCACCAACAGGGGAAATTCCATGTCATATCCTCAACAGGGCTAGTGGCCGGAGTTAATTTCCTCATGGCTTGACATTTAGGCGCTAATAGAAGCTATATTTCCAATGTCTTCCTCTTCTATGGTTCACCTTGTCGATCGCTCGTCTATGATTTTTAAAAGACTCCCCCTGCCTAATTAACATATCGGTACAGTCCAGGATACTCCCCTTCACTGATTGGACCCTAAGTCTTGCAGCACTCTTTTCATTGGCTACATCTTTTCTTATTTTCACCAATCAGTCTCACGTTCCGGTAGCCGCCAAGCTCTCCTTAGCAACCAGACAAACACCCGGTCCATGCCCTTTCCTTGAAGTTAGGTCCTCCCTGGCCTGACTCCATAGGCTCAATCTCAGGTCGATCATTTCCCCTCTATTCTCCAAACTGAGTCCCAACATCGGCTCAGGTCCGTCTCCTATGTTATCCAATTGGCTGTGAGCCACCTGGCTCCTGACACAAACCAATCATAGACAAATTGATTAGTTGGTTGAAGGCAGGTCTTGCGGCTGAGTGAGCTCGAGGGAGAACCACTCTGGTTGTGGGCAAGGTCCGCAGATCCTTGTCCAGTGCTCCCTGAACTCCCATTCTGGGTAAACCAGGGCAGGGACCACACTTGCAACTGCACTCCTTGTCTTGGAAGTGACCCTATTTCTGAAAACTTCCTTATACTTTGCTCCCTGTGGAAGGGGAGACTCGAGTGAATTCCGTTTGAACCCATGCACTAGGCAGAAATACAAACTTTGTCTCAGGCCCTTGGCAGGCAGTCTTAACTCTAAACTGGGAGGTTCCAGCTTAGAAATACCTCCAGCTTCATTTGAGTATTCTAGCCCATAAAATAATATCCCGATTCTCAGATGGGGACCCCAGCTCCACAGAGCTAGCTGTGTCCGCATTCCCAGCAAGAGCTCCACCCCAGAGACAGGTACCCAACCCAGGATACCTCCTTCATTTCTAGTCTGGGGTCCAGGTTAGATATGCCCTTTAGACCGAGTTAGGGACCTGGTTTCAAGGTGTCAGTTGAGCAGTCTCAGAGGGGATTCCTTCTCCTCAATGAGATTATCCCCGGTTCCAGAAGTAGATTCTAGCCCCGGAAAACTAATGCGCCTCCAGTCCCAAGCAGGAACCTCACTCAAGAGAGCCAGCTACAGCCCCAAACGACGACCCCATTCCCGGGGAGACCATGTCTGTGTAACGCCTTCCCAAATCTAGCTGGATTATAAAAATTCGCGGGGCGGAGCCACCCGGTTCGCCAGTCAGAATTTATTCCTCATTTGTCCCGCCCCTCAGGCCCCGCCCCCACTGCGGACGCTTGCGGGCCAGAGCGTTCTTCCCGGCATGCATTGCCCGGGATCAGTCAAGTCCGGCGCCAAGCGCGGGTCTGGAGCGGCCTTCCCATAGTCCTTTGCGCGGCACTTGGCGACAAAATGGCTGCCCGAGGGAGACGGGCGGAGCCTCCCGGTCGGGAGGCGCCGGGCCCCGCGGCGGGCGGCGGCGGCGGGAGCCGATGGGCTGAGTCGGGGCCCGGGACATCGCCCGAGAGCGGGGACGAGGAATTGTCGAGCCCAGTGTCGTGCGGCGTGAACTTGTTCGCCAACGACGGCAGCTTCCTCG